GCCAGGATCCAGGTGAACGATCTGATCGTGGAGGTGGACGGCACCAGCCTGGTGGGGGTCACGCAGAGCTTTGCTGCCTCTGTGCTCCGGAACACCAAGGGCCGCGTGCGGTACGGGCCGGGACCCCCGAAACCTGGGCGGGACCCCCAAAACCCCGGCGGGACCCCCGAAACTTGGGCAGGACCCTCGAAACCCTGGCAGGACCCCTGAACCCCAGTGGGACCCCTGAACCCCAGCGGGACCCTTGAACCACCAGTGGGACCCTTGAACCACCAGTGGGACCCCCAAAACCCCCGGCGGGACCCCCGAAACCTGGGTGGGACCCCCAAAACCCCGGCGGAACCCCAGAATCCCCCATACCCGGGGGTCCCCCACACCCGGAGGTCCCTGCCCCATGGCCCGTCCCCCCAGCCTGTCCCCAGGGTCCCCTATTGCCCCTGGAGTGCCACCCTGGTGCCCCCCAAAGTGCTCCCACGTCACCCCTGGCACCCTGGCACCCCTGACCCGGTGCCCCCCAGCCCCCCCTGGCACGCGGTGCCCCCCTGGCCCCCCTGACCCGTGCCCGCAGGTTCCTGATGGGGCGCGAGCGGCCGGGCGAGCAGAGCGAGGTGGCGCAGCTGATCCAGCAGACGCTGGAGCAGGAGCGCTGGCAGCGCCAGCTGCAGCGGCGCTACGCCCGCTACGCCCGCGGCGACGACGAGGTGAGGGCGGCGGGCACGGCGGGCGCGGCGGGCACGGTGGGCACGGCGGGCACCAACAGCCCCCCGCGCCCGCCGCAGGGCGGGGAGTTCGGCACGGACGAGGAGGAGGAGGAGGAGGAGGAGGAGGAGGAGGAGGACGAGGAGGAGATGAGCCCCGTGTTCCCCGGCGGCGAGGCGGCCATCGAGGTGTTCGAGCTGGCCGAGGGCGAGGACGCGCTCAGCCCGGCCAACATGGAGCCCGACAGGCTGCTGCACAAGTTCAAGGAGGTCAGCGGGGGTGCCCGCCCCGTGCCCGCCCTGTGCCCGCCCTGGGGGTCTGTGCCCACCCTGTGTCCGCCCCGTGCCCACCCCGTGCCCGCCCCGGCTCTCCCGCAGCTCCAGATCAAGCACGCCGTGACCGAGGCTGAGATCCAGCAGCTCAAGAGGAAGGTGAGGGGGGGTCCTGGCTGCTGGGGCTGGGGGGGCACCCTGGCACCTGCCCTGGCACCCTGAGCGTCCTTCTGCACCTGCCCTGGGGGCTGTTCCACGTCCTGCCCTGTCCTGCCCGTCACCCGGCTGTGCCATGCCGTGCCGTGCCATGCTGAGCCGTGTGCCATCCCCGGCTGTGCCACACTGTGCCATGTGCCATCCCCAGCTGTGCTATGCCATGCCATACTGTGCCACGTGTCATCCCCTGGCCGTGCCATGTCCCATGTCCTGGCTGTGCCGTGCCATGCCACACTGTGCCATGTGCCATCCTCTGGCTGTGCCATCCCCTGCCTGTGTCATCCCTGGCTGTGCCATGCCGTGCCGTGCCAAGCTGAGCCGTGTGCCATCCCCAGCTGTGCCATCCCTGGCTGTGCCATGTCCTATTCCACTCCTTGCCTGTGCCATGTGCCATCCCCTGGCCATGCCACCCCCAGCCGTGTCACCCCCTGGCTGTGCCATGCTGTGCCACGCCGTGCCATGTGCCATCCCCTGGCTGTGCCACGCGGTGCCAGGCGGTGCCAGGCGGTGCCGTGTGCCCGCGGGCGTGGTGACGCCGCTGCCGCAGCTGCAGGGCCTGGAGCAGGAGAAGGCGCGCTGGCGGGCCGAGAAGGCGCAGCTGGAGCAGAGCGTGGAGGAGAACAAGGAGCGCATGGAGAAGCTCGAGGGCTACTGGCTGGAGGCGCAGAACCTGTGCCAGGCCGTGGACGAGCACCTCAAGGAGACGCAGGCGCAGTACCAGACCCTGGAGCGCAAGTACAGCAAGGCCAAGCGGCTCATCAAGGAGTACCAGCAGAAGTGAGGAGCCTCAGACCCCGCGGGAAGGGACCCGGCCCCGGGGTCCCACCCTGAGGAGCCCCAGACCCCGCGGGAAGGGACCCGGCCCCGGGGTCCCACCCTGAGGAGCCCCCGGACCCCACGGGAAGGGACCCAGCCTGGGTGTCCCACCCTGAGGAGCCCCGGACCCCGCGGGAAGGGACCCAGCCTGGGTGTCCCACCCTGAGGAGCCCCAGACCCTGCGGGAAGGGACCCAGCCTGGGTGTCCCACCCTGAGGAGCCCCAGACCCCGCAGGAAGGGACCCGGCCCTGGGGTCCCACCCTGAGGAACCCCAGACCCCGCAGGAAGGGACCCAGCCCTGGGTGTCCCACCCTGAGGAGCCCCAGACCCCACGGGAAGGGACCCGGCCCTGGGTGTCCCACCCTGAGGAGCCCCAGACCCCGCAGGAAGGGACCCGGCCCTGGGGTCCCACCCCTCAACCCCCCCGGGCACCCCCATCCCTGGGCACCCCCGTCCCTGGGCACCAGCCGTGCCAGGGGGCCGAGCTGCACCCTGAGCTGAGGGTCCATCTCCTGTCTGCGTGTCCATCCCCTGCACTGAGGGTCCATCCCTGGGCTGAGGGTCCATCCCTGACCATGTGTCCATCCCCTGTCTGTGTGTCCATCCCTGGGCCGTGTGTCCATCCCATGTGTCCATCCCATGTGTCCATCCCTGGGCCATGTGTCCATCCCATGTGTCCATCCCATATGTCCATCTCTGGGCCATGTGTCCATCCCCTAGGCTGAGGATCCATCCCCTGGGCTGAGGGTCCATCCCATTGCCCATATGTCCATCCCATGTGTCCATCCCCTGTCTG